CAGCTTTGAGCAAGCCCTTGATAATCGATTGTCTTTGAATGTCAATCGACTATTTGGTTTCTCTGAACATTTCCAGATTGAAACCAAATCCTGTGAATCGATTATCCAGAGATAGTAATCGATTATTCTACATCCCTGAACCTTGAAACTCAAAGTTATTCAATTCATGTTTGCCTTTTTTAAGCTTTGGTATTAGGCTGAAGTTATTCCCTGATTTTCAACAAAGAATAAAGCCTTTTCTTTCATAAAACAAAAGCATGATCACTTTTGACACAAAAGAACAAAAATCACAAACAAAGTCATTGAATGAATAGTGCTGTTTTGGCATTTTATTCACAATTGTCAAAAGCTTGATTTCCCTTTGTTTTCTTCCATAAAGGCATGAAATTTCTGCCCAAATAAACCCATAGAAGATCAGCTCAAAATCAGGAGAAGCATCATGGAAAATCAACTCACATGGATGGGCATTAAGCATTGATTTGTAGGAAAGTAGGAAACTTCCTTGTTGTATTCTTCCTTCCTTTTTCTTGTATTTTTCCTTATTTGTTGTTGTATAAATACTTCAGCCATGAGGCCATTGTAACACACCAGATTATTGAATTAAAAACCTTGTTTACTCTTTTGAGTAATTCCCTTAAAATAGTGTGATGCTATTTTAACCAAATTTCCTAATGAAATATCTCTAAAGTTAGCTACTTTTGAGTGCGTGTTAGGAGTCTAATTTTATACATTAGTAGTGATTATTAATGTGTAAAAGAAGATAAAAGCCCCAAGTTAAGATAAGAGTGTGTCATATCTCTTAACACCAACTTGGTTTATCCCTTCACTTTATTTCTGCCCATTTCATCCCTCACCATTTTCTTGGTTTATCCCTTCACTTGGTTAAGCCCCAACTGTCAAATGGCGCCGTTGCCGGGGAGTGGCACGACATTAGTTTAATTTCTTCTGATTAGCTTGGGTGAAGATTGGTTAGAACGATCTTCTCACTTCCTTTCACCAACCACCCATAATAATTATTATGGATAACCCTAGTGGTTATTACGGTCCGCCTTCTTTCTACCAATCACCTATCCGCCCTCCGTTTCAAACCCATCCACCTTACCACCCGCATCAGAACCCATACGATGATGACTACCAAGTCAACAATGGGTCTGACTACTATCCCTACCATGAGGAACCACCATATGATACCCCATCTGAAAACTTTGGATATTCTCCGTACCAAGACTTTGATGGGGGAGATCATTATGAACCTCATGGTGATCACGATGACTATGACCGCAATGGGCCTATATACGACGATCAAGCTGATCCGCTCGTCGAAGAAATAACAAGATTAGAACGGAAAATCTTCTATTTCGATGAAGTTTTATTCGCTGAAGGCTCCTGGTATGAACCACCCTACTCCCGTGACTATACCCTGTTTGCCGAAGAACAAATTGAAGCAAACAAGGTGGCAATTCGAGAAAGAGCAAAACTTCTTGAATCAGTCCGGAAGGAAAAGGAGTTCAAAAGGAGATTATGCGAAGGATCAGAGATGATGCAGAAAATGTTGGATGACTTCCAAAGAGAGAGACTAGAAGCCGAGGCTAAAGCTGATAAATTAGTCAATGATCTCTGTAAGGCTGTTGAACTTAAACGCTCCCTCCAATCTCAAGATCAAATGAGGGAGGTTAATGCTCAAAACGAGGCTCTAGAACCTAAGACCAACCCTAAACCATTCAACCATCAGGTTC